CCCCAAAACCCCAAAACCCCTTCATTTAGTTATAGGCATACTTCTATGTAAATAAAATAATACACTTAGTTTAAATGAATGAATAAATGCTTATATTAATCAGGCTCTGTGAGGGATAGCCTTTAACATTCTCTTTTTTGTACTTCTTCTGTGAATATTTAGGGTAATTCTCTCTAAATCTTTCTGACTGAACATATCAGGAGCTTAAGTATTTTTTGATTTGTAAGAGAATATTCTAGCAATGTTTGCTCTAATCATTTCAACATCATTCGAAGTTGTAAATATATTTCTTTTCAAACTCTCCATATCAGCTATCGGGTCACTCATATTCTTTATTACCTTTGAAATTTTTTGGAAATTTTATTAATGATTTGAGAATTGTCTTCTAAGCATTCTTAACTCATGTCTGAGTTCTTTGTCCTTATCAGTGTTTTTCCTCTCAAGAATTTTCCTTCTTAATATTTTAATTTTATAAGTAGAGGCGAGCATACCAACAGCGTAAATTCTTAAGATATCCTTATGCTTAAGTCTTTGTAACAAGTTGAAAGATTTTTCTTGGGAGTAATCAAATTTCAAAATGTTCATAAGACAAATAACGAACAATGAGACAATTAACACACCAACGAATGCACAGACGACAGTTATAGCTCTACCAGCATGAGAGTAAGCATAAACATCACCATAACCAACAGTTGTCATTGTAATAAGTACATACCACATGGAGGTGGTAATGTGGTAAAAGTTATTTTAAAGTTATCTTTCAAATAATCTGATGGTGTAGGATAACACAAAAAGGCATATCATCATGGATGCCAAAGTAATAAGCCAAGAATATTCAATCATAAGTGATTTAAGAGCAAATGTGTTTGTTGCATCAGCTCCATAAATACTGCACACTCTCTAAGCTCTTGGATTAGTATAAAATGACAATTAGATGATAGCTCTACAAAGGAAATGAAGTCTGCAGAAAATCATTAAGCACAACATTAAATCGTTTGTGACAAATTCTTTACCATTGCTCCAGTCATTAGCAGTCTCAATGTAAACATCGCCATAAAGTGATGGGTAACTCATTACAAGTGAAAGTAGGATTTCAAGCACAATATTCTTCCAAAGCCCAGTATTTATCAGATTGTCAAGCTCATATAGATTTGATTTGGTTTTTTTCCACTCAATATATAGCACATTACTAGCAATTGTGGAAAGTACTAATAGATTTATCTAAATAGTTCTTACTTAGAGGCAAGGTAGACACGTTAGAAATTATCAGCAAAGTAATGACATGATCCTTGTTCTTGTCATCAAGATTTCTGAAGTAGTTAATTTCTGAGGCGACAATTGTGCATCCTACTCCTAGCATAGCAAAGTAGCAAGAGACGAATTCAGATACTTTCTTTTGACTGAAAGCGAGGTTACTAATTCTTACTAAATCCTATGATATCATTTTTTTCTCCTCAGCTTCATCGAAATCTACTCCACCATCTCCTTCATAGATTTTTTCAATATTTACTTCTGCCTTATCTCTTGCTAATCGAGCATCCTCTATTTATGAGTTCTGCTTCGAACTACAGTAAAATGTTATTTTAAATTCTAATTACGAATCCACTAATTTCATCTATTCCATAACCAAGCCAGCTATTCCTGCAGGCTTCTATGGAGATTTTTTGTTTGGAGATTTTTTATTAGGAGTCCCCTAGGAACCTACTTTTTTTAGCTCTAAACCAATTAATGAGGAAATTTTTACCTAAAAAGTCCATCATTTCTGAAAACTAATTATTATTAATATAACGGTAATTTATTTATATTCCAGATCCTCAAAATTGCTACTATACAAAAGTCATGGGGTTTTGGGGTTTTGGGGTTTTGGGG